AAAAAAAAGAATCAGTGGTTGCCAAGGATTCATGGAGGAAGAGTGATGAATAGGCAGAGCAAGGAGGATGTTTAAGGTAATGAAACCATTCTGTATGATATGAGTGGTGGGGACCTGCCGTTCTACTTTAGTGAACCCCCAGAATGTGCAACAACAAGACAATACCCTGTGCAAACTGAGAATGTTGCTTGATAATTATGTGCCAATGTGGATTTATCAACTGAAGCAAATGTGCAACTGTGGTACAGAATATTGATAGCAGGGGTTGTGTGTGGGAGGGAAGGGCATGTGGGAGTTCTCTGTTCTTTCTTTTTAAGTCTTTACTGAAGAAAAACTGTTCTAAAAATAAATTCTGAAAGTGAATTCTCCTGTTAGGCTCTCATAGTGCCAAGAAATACTGCTGTTGAGTATTGTAGTTGCAATTCAAACTTCTTTACATGGCATCATGGGATCATGGGACCGTAAACCCCAAGTAACAGAACTCTTGTGTATTTTTCCCAGAGACATTCCCAATACTGTGAATATATTCTGACACATGAAATAATCAATTATTTGTTGTTAGTGAAAGAATGAGTAAATTGAGATTCTGAGCAATTAAGTCCTCTCTCTTACGTTGGAAATTCATGTGAATGGATTATCATTGAGAGCAAGAAAGCGGGCATTCAGTAGTTTAGAAGCTCTGTGAGATATGTGAAGAAGGGAAATTGAAAGCTAAGAGTGCTGTGCTGAAATGAAGACTCATTAGAGCAGAGTGGACCCCAGTACAGTGCTGGGACAGTTGGCCCCTGAAAAAAATAATTGCCAGAAGCCTGAAAACTAATGAGAGTCAACACCCATTAGAGGAGAATGGACTGTGAAAATTTCACTGGGATGCCAAAAATATTCCTGTTTCTCCATGCAGCTAGAGCTAAAAGTTTCCTTTGTTTTATAATTAGATAACTTAAGCCTGTCAAAGGAGAATTATTACGCTTTAATATATTTTGAAGTTCTCAGATTCATTTTTATTAAAAGCATTTGAAAAAATCATAAAGTCTATAAAAAGAATCCAAGGTCTCCTTTAATCTATTTGAAAGACAGAGGCTGGATCCATCTTGCTCCTCCACACATAGGGAAGAGGGAAAGGCCTCTGCACAGCCCCTGGTCCCTTTGGACACCTCCCCACCCCAAGACCCTGCTTCTGCCCTCAGCTCCTGCCCACCAGCAGCCTTGCAGAGACGGGACTGCCCACAATAGTGACCTGGATATCTCAGCAAGGTCCAGGGACAATTCCTCCCATGACGTGATCAGTAGCTAGTGCAGGCCCCCTGGAGCACTATAAAACCTTGTCTGCACCAGGTTGGCAGGAGCATGGGGATGGCATTCAGGGTGAAGGCAGACGTGTGGCTGGCAGGGCCCTGGCTGTGCCTGAGAGGGGCCAGGGCACTGGGCACCAGAGCAGTTATGCCCCCCATGGCCATGGTGCTGCCCTTTGAAGCCATACCCCAATGTCCAGGCAACAAGTGGTTGAGGGTGCTGCAGATTTGGAAGGATCAAGGCGTTGAGGACATTCACCTGGAGATGCATCGAACCTTCCAGGAGCTGGGGCCCATTTTTAGGTAACTTCCTCTGTAGTTCCTTCCTGAGGGTGCTCATAGCTCCCTGAATCCGGATGCCAGGCCCTTGCCAAGCCCTTGCCAGGCACATAGTGTCACCATAGCCCTAGGGGGTTCTCTGCCCTCAGGAAGGCAAGACAGGAAGATTGTGGGCTGCTGGTCTGAGTCGTTGCCATAGAAACCACAGCTCTTCAAGAAACAGAGCAAAAGCAGGGCTCACTGTGCAGAGGACAGAATGGAGAAGCACTGAAGTGGGCAGCAGAAGGGGCTTCCTGGGGGAGCAAAAGCAAATCCAGGAAAAAGGAGAAGCTTGACAAGACTCTGTCTGCATGCACTCAGGCTGTGCAGAAGGTCCACAGGAAAGATGGGATATGATCCAACAGAGTATTGTGCATTGTCCCCCAGGTATGACGTTGGAAGGATGCAGATAGTCTCTGTGATGCTGCCAGAGGATGCTGAGCAGCTGCACCAAGCAGAGAGCCTGTATCCCTGCCGCATGCACCTGGAGCCCTGGATGGCCTACAGAGAACACCGAGGGCAGAAGCCTGGAGTATTCTTGCTGTGAGGAGCCAGTGGGCATGAAGAGGGAGGTGGGATTGGCAGCCCAGATAGAAAAGGCAGGAAAGATCAGACCCCAAGACACACATACCCTGGCCCCTGAAGGGATTGGTGGAGACAGGGTGACTGCCAAGGAAAATGGGTGTCATCCTGTGGATGTCCTGGGGGTGGAGGAGGAAGCAATGAAGTAGCAGAAAAATGCACATTCCTGGGGAGAGGAGGGTCACTGACACCACCGTGAGGTTGGCACCTATTCCTCACAGCCTTGGTGATATTTTCTCTTGCAGGTAGGTGGCTCCCCTTCCTGTGGCTCAGAGAAATAGCTCTGAGATGGGGAGACCCTGGCCCAGGGCCACAGTCAGCATTTTCCAGAGCCAGTTGTCCACCTTGCTGCAGCCCTCCTCCCACAAGGTGCCCTTGATTCCTAGAGATAAGGGACCATTTACTCTGTAGGAAAAGTCCTGGAGATAAGGGTGATGGGAATACAGGAGGTAAATGACTCTTTGTGTTCAAAAGCAAAGCCCTAAGTAGGCTAATGGCACTGGGACTCAGATCCTTCATGTGGAAAGAGAGGACACTTGTACAGGTAATCAGGAAGAAGGTGGTGGTTTGGGCCACTACTGGAAAGAGGTTGTCATTAAGGGCCAGGAGGGTTAAAAGAGAGAAGTCAGGCTGTGGGTCATCACACCACTCTGTCAGGAAATGAATTCTCTTGGGATAGCAGGCTCTAAGAAAATAGATCTCTTGAGTGCAGCCTTAAGGTGAGGTCAGCTGGGAGGGATGGAAGACCAAAGGGCAGGCCAGAGAGAAGGGTGGACACATGAATGTGAAGGAATCTGTGAGCGTGTGTGTGTGTGTGTGTGTGTGTGTGTGTGTGTGTGTATGTCTTGCAACTGAATCCATACATACTTTGTATTTGCATTTGTATGAGTATTGTGTATTTTCATAAATGGGTACTGTGTGCATATGTGAAGATAGAACATGTGTATACATGTCCTGCATGGACACAGATGTCTATGTGCCTGTGGGTGTGATCATTGTGAATAATTGTAGGCATCAGCCATAGAAGCAGGCAGCTGTGCTTGCATGAGTGTGGGTCAGAGCACAAACTCCTGACCATCATTGCCTGAGAATCTCTACCAGGCCCCCATGTTCTCTGGTTAGTTGCTTGTGAATATAGTGAGAACTTTTCTTTTTTTTCTGGTACTGGGTATCGAACTCAGGACTTGCACTTGCAAGGCAGCCATGGAGCCACTGAGCTAAATCCCCGGCTCTACTGTGAGAACTTTTGAAGTTTTTGAGAGCTGAGATTTTTGATCCTGCCCTATACAAGATGAGGACGTTCTTGGGGACAGGAAGATGCTACTGATTTGGAGGCAGTGTGCTCCATAGGAAAGAACAAGGAGGTGTGAGGTCAGCTACCCTTCCCCTTGGGGCATGATATGGGTTATGCGGGTAAAGCTTGACAGAGGATCAACTTCCTGTCTGAGACAAAGCCTTCCTACCTGGGCAGGGTTGGCATGAGGCATTTGTGTGTGGGGCATGGGGCCTGCAAATTCACAGGAATGAGAGCAGCCAATTCTCACAGAATTTTCAAATAGAATCTGGTGTCTCATTCCCATTTAGATTTCAGTGGCCATCATCCCAGCACACTCTGAGAGAGGTGCAGCTGACCTGCAGCAGCCTGCCTCCATGGATACATTCATCTTCCAGTGACACCCAATTCCTTCTGAGGACCAGGAAGATGGGGCTAGGGTTGACTCCAACTATGCTCTACCCTGCAGGAATGGGCCTGAATGGCGCTCTAACCGACTGCAGCTGAACCCAAATGTGCTGTCCCCAAAGGCAGTGCAAAAGTTCCTCCCCATGGTGAACATAGTGGCAAGAGACTTCTCAGAGGCCTTGAAGAAGAAGGTGCTACAGAGTGCCCAGCGGATCCTGACCCTGGACATCCAGCCCAGCATTTTTAACTATACTGTAGAAGGTGGGTTCCTGGGCATGCGGAGGCATCCAGCAATGGGGTGCAGAGGGCTGGGATGGTACCCTGAGGTCAGGATGGTCTTCAGCCTGTGATACCATTGTCTCTGCAGCCAGCAACTTTGCACTTTTTGGAGAGAGGTTGGGCCTCTTTGGCCATAACCCAAGCTCTGATAGCCTGAACTTCATCCATGCCCTGGAGGTCATGCTCAAATCCACTGGGCAGCTCATGTTCCTGCCCAGGCATCTATCCCGCTTGATGAGCAGCCAGGTGTGGAAGGAGCACTTTGAGGCCTGGGACCACATCTTTGACTATGGTGAGGCCCAGGGGCAGAAGAGTCACCTACTTTTCCATGCATCACTACTCCTCAGCCTCAAAGAGGCCACATAGCAGGGTAATGGCATCCTATGGTCTTGCCAGGGTGTTGACAGGAGACTGAGCTGGCCCAGCCTGCAGATAATGGTGGAAGCACGGAGATCTGGAGATGTTGTGGGCAGGTGGGGAGGAAGAGGACAAGGAAATGATGCTCCCAGATCTAGAGTCTGAAGCTCTCTTCTTTTTCTTGCAGCTGACAATTGGATTCAGAAGACTTATCAGAAACTTGTTTGTGGTTGCCCTCAGTACTATAACGGCATCATGACAGATCTTCTGTTGCAGGGGAACTTGCCACTAAATTCCATCAAGGCTAACAGTATTGAACTCACAGCAGGGAGTGTGGACACGGTCAGGCCAACACCTGTCCATCACTGTGAACGAAGCCCACCATGATTCCCAGTGGGTCCTCTTGTGCATAGTCATCCAGGGTCATAAATCCCAGGCCTAGGCCTTCATGGCAAGGCTAGAGAGAGCCAGCCATGGGAGCATGAGTTCAGAGTGGTCTCCTTTGACCACCCTGCAGTGGGTGGAATGTGCCTGGAAGTCCTAGGGCATCAGGGAGACCCTTAGGAGGCCATTTCTGTGGCTCCTGTCATGGAATGAAGCGCTTTGGAGATACTGAGGCTCTCATCTCAGATGAGCAGAGGGAGATGCATTTCATGGCACCAGAAGTGACCCAGGAGGAAGAAATGTTTGGTATCTGCACATGGGGGTGGTGGTGGTGGTTCAGGTTGATACATTGAGGTCTTTGGACAGTCAGGCCAGAAAAGCCATTGGAAGCTGATGGATGTGGGCTCCAGAGCCCCACTTAGTAATGCTGGGGGCTAACTGCTGAGGTCTCATGAAGGATGTGGGTAGCAGACTTTGCAGTGACATAGGAGGAAGCCTGGGCTGGGATGTAGAGGCCTTTCTCTGAGGAATCAAGGAATGGGTCCATGTGGGCATTAGAGTCCTAAAGCCTAGGGTGCATACTCTGGTTTCTATTCAGATTGTATACATCCTTCACCTTTTTCTAAAGCCTAGAGTGCAGGGCTGTCCTTCTGCGCATGCTTGTGGGAGGCTTCTGTGGGCAGAGGGGCATGGGATTGCAATGTCTGAGCCTTGCCCTCTGACTCCTATAGACCACCTACCCAATAATGATGACGCTCTTTGAGTTGGCCAGGAACCCCACGGTGCAGCAGGCCCTGCACCAGGAAAGCCTGGCTGCTGAGCCCAGCATCTCAGGGAATCCTCAGAGGGCTACCATGGAACTGCCCCTGCTTCGAGCAGCCCTCAAGGAGACCCTGAGGTAGGTGCCAGCTCAACCCTACCCAGTCCATTTCTCCTCTGCTTAGGTGGCTTGAGGACACAGATGGAGATGGGTGGAGATATGAGGAGCTTTTCCTGGAAACCAGCTGCACCTCAGCTCCTCTTCTATCTCAGGTTGGGGTAGAGCCCTCTTCCTCTGGGATCCCATTTCAAGTCCTGTGGCCATCCTCCATGTCCTTCCTGGCCTGCACTGGCCTTATGGAGGGAGGCCCGGCTGAGCTCAGCAGGTGCATGGAAGCCTAGTGTCAGGATGAGGGCTGACTTCCCTTCTAGGGGTCCTGTGTAAGAAGGACCGCAGAGGGGACTGGAGGAGACTTGTCATAGCTCAGGCATCTCTTCCGGCCTTGCATCCCCAGGCTGTACCCTGTCGGTCTTTTTCTGGAGAGAATCCTGAGCTCAGACTTGGTGCTTCAGAACTACCACCTCCCGGCTGGGGTGAGTGAGTCCCCACAGTCCCCCTGCTGAAGGCATTTGCAAGTTGTCCCTCAGGCACTTGACAGCCCCCTCTGCACCTGTCTGCAGACCTTGGTCCATTTGTATCTGTATTCAATGGGCCGAAACCCCTCAGTGTTCCCGAGTCCAGAGCGCTATAACCCGCAACGCTGGCTGGACAGCAGGCAGACCTTCCATCACCTGGCTTTTGGCTTTGGGGTGCGCCAGTGTCTGGGGCGGCGTCTGGCAGAAGTGGAGATGCTGCTGTTTCTGCATCACGTGAGAGAGCTTGGGTGGGGCCTTGGGATGGGGTGGGACCCTGGCCAGGGTGTCCAGGGTGGGTCTGGGGAATGGGGCAGGCCTTGGCAGAGGTTTGGCATGGCATGAGTGGGAGGGGCCTTGCAGAGTAAGGTTGGGCCTTGCATAGTAGGGCAGAGCCTGTGTGGTGGGTGGGCTGTGCTCTGGCAGAGTGGGGCTTGACCTCAGCAAGGTGGGGCCCTGCCTGGCAGGGAGGGGCTTGGCGGAGTGGGTGGGTCTGCATGGGAACATAGGCTGCTCCTCCCCCGCAGTCTGGTGGCTGCACTCAGTTCAGTTGCTACAGCAGCCTAGTCAGGACCCTGGCCCTGCTAGGAGCCCAGACACAATCTGCACTTCTGTCCTAGATTCTGAAATCCTTCCACGTGGAGACACCGCTCCAAGAGGATGTGAAGTTGGCCTACAACTTTGTTTTGATGCCCACCACCTTCCCCCCCCTCACTTTCCGGGCTGTCACCTAGTCATACTTCCCCACCGAGGATCCCAGGCACAGCGCTATCCTCTGTCTCCATGATCCTAGGCCACCCCTCCTGTTCTCCTGCAAGAGCACTGCTTCCTGGCCACAGTGCTATGTAGAGGGCTCCCAGCTCAAACAGTGCAGGCAAAGCCCTGCAGGATCTGGGCTCAGCAGGCTGTGCAGCCAGGCCAGAGCAGAGCTCAGGAGGATCATGGTGGCCCAGCCTGGTTTTGTCCCCTCCCCAGCCCCACCCAGCTCCATCTCCTGCAAACTTTCTCTGCTAGAACACTGTCTCTCTCTCTCCTGAGCACGGTTTCCAGCATCCTCCTGTGGCCATCAGATCACACTCTTAATATTGGCCATACTTATGTTTTCCATTTATGTGGAATCAGCAAAGAAAATAGATCTAAGTTGGCGACACATCACCTGAGCTATGGCGTTGGTGTACGTGAACTCAAAAATTAGGAAAGTAATTTTGGGGCCGGGGATTAGCTCCGTGGCACTGCGCCTGCCTTGCAAGTGGAAGGTTCTGAGTTCAATCCCTGGTACCAAAAAAAAAAAAATAAAAAAGGAAAGTGTGAATACTAGTGAGGATTGTGTATCAGCAAGGGGTTGTGGTGGTCTCTGAGGGTCAGAGATGTAGACAGGAGGTCATAATGGAGACCTGGACGAGGTGACAGGAGAGGTCATTGCTGGAGAGCTGTGTCTTCCTGGAGATGAAGCATTAACTGACATGAGGCAGGTATTTCCTGGGGAAAGCAATAATCTCCCTGAATATTTAGCATGGATCAGAGTGTGTTAACCTGTTGCAGATTTCTCTGGAGGCTCAGCAGTGTATAGGGAGTATATTTTGACAAAGAACAAGGATTTTATTAAATTGGGTGTGTGGGATGAATTAGGTCCACTGAAAATCAACTTAAAAAGATGTTGAGCCCCAAATGTCCTTAGAACGTGACTGTATTTAGAGATAGCACCTTTATCAAGGGATTTAATTCAAAATGAAGTGACTGGGGTGGACCTCAATCCAATATGACAGATGTGTTTGTTTGGTATATATACTACTTTTTTTTTGGTGGTATGGGGAATGAAATTCAGGACCTTGCACTTGCCAGGCAGGCTTGGCACCGCTGTGCTACATTCCCAGCCCTAAACACTACTTCTATATAGATATTGTTACCTAAATTTGGTATACAATTGTGGATTTTCAATTTTGTCCAATTATATGACTTTAATATACGTGAAATGTGTTGATTAGATTATTAAACTGCCGTGGCTTGGATTTTAAACTTTCTCCAAAGGTCCACATGCCAAGGCTTGGTCATATGGTTGAACTTTTAGGAGGTGGAGCCTAATGGAAGGAAGTTACGTCCTGGGGGCATGCCCTTCTTGGTGATTCTGGGACCTCGACCACTTTTTCACTCCCCATTGGCTTTCAGACTATCAGGAGGCAAGCATCCTTCCTCCACTATGTGCTCTCCTTCATAATGTTATGCTTGGTCAGGGTCCAAAATGACTACAGACTGAAACCTCTAAAACACAGTTAAAATAAAGCTTTCTGCCGTAAAAGTTGATCATCTCAAGTGTTTTATCACAGCTATGGAACACTGACTAACCTATATGCTAAGATGTAAAATATATAAAGCGATGTAAAAATATATGTAATTAAAAATGTACCTAATTTATCCTTGTTTGCTTGCTGTGTGTTTAGTCTTTTTATTTTCCTCTTTTTCTATCTCTCTGTGTCTTTCTCTTTCTCCCTCCTTCTGCTCTCTTTTGTTTTCAGCTTTTAGGTGCCTAAAAGTGTAGGTTTGGTCTCTCTTTCTGGCAGCAAAAGGAAATGGGACAGGGCAGTGGCCTGCCTTCTCTGAGTGCAGCAGCTCCCCAGTGTGAAGAGAAAAGGAAAAAAGAAACACAAAACCCAGAAGTCCCAAGTCCTTGTATGTCTAGGGGAAATTTTCTTCCCCTTTCCCTACTTCTTTCAGTCCCCAAATAGTTGTTTCTCTTCTTTGTATGTTGATCTGGTTCACCTTTAGTGTTCCTATTGCCTCTTCTAAGCAGTGGTCTCCCTTTCTAAGGAGTCCTAGTCTACTTCCAAGGACCCTGGACCACCTAGGAGAGCCACAGTGGGCTCCATCCCCATTTCAGAGTGAGAACTGAGTGTGGGACCCTGCATATGGGGAGGAAGCACCTTACGAGGGCATGTGGCCTCTGATTGGTGGTTTGACCAACTGGACCACAGCTTTAGCTCCTTGGATGTGAGTGGAGCTGAACCAAACCTTCCTTTCCAGTACCCTTTTTTATTGAACACTGAACCACTGGTCTCCCAGAATGGGACTGGAGCAGAGACAAATTGAGACAGCAGGAAGATAAGTGATGAACCAAGAGTGCAATTGAACAGCAGCACTGTGGGGGACTGGCGGAGTCATGTTCCCTAAGGCTGGGGCACCCAGAGAGACTGTATGTGGCTGGAGGCTCTCTCTGGCCAACAAAAGATTCTCCTTCGACTCCACAGTGCATGCTGGCTTGCAGGGGAAAGAGCAGCTCCCTGTGCCCACCTCTGGCCAGGGTTGACAGTCACCTGACAGGCCTTCCAGTGGCACCTGGAGAAAAGTAACACCCCTCTCCCTTCACAGAAGCCATTTGTAAGCTGGAGAAATTGAAAAGGGCTGCCCAGGATCATCATCATCCCTGATGGAGGCAAACAGCACAACCCAGAGCAGGATTCAGGAAGTCTCAGCCTCTGAGTTCTGAATTTAGCATAAGAGTCCCCAACCAACCCAGCTAGTGCCACAAACATGAGTCACATGAAGCCCAGGAGGTGCCTACAGGTAGTAAGATCTTCCCAGCCTCCACTGAGCTCATGTCAAAGCTGTTCCAAACTGTCTCAATTCAAGGATGATGCTTGTAGGGGTACCTGTCTGTTGGAAGCAATTAGGAAGCCAAATGGAGTCTAGCAGTATGCCATGTCTGCCTGAGGCCACGCCCCTGGCAACCTACAACCATGGCTGCCTGCATTCAGGGCTTTCTGCACCCATTGTTTTAGTTTATTTATTTATTTATTGCTTAAATTCTTTTATTGGTACATTTTAGGTATACAATTCATTTACATTTATCATTGGGTGCTTGTACCTGTACGTGATGTATCTTGGTTCTTATTTTTTCCCCTTTCCCTGTGCGCCCTTCACCCCTC